CCAAAACACTCCAAAAATTGACAGCACTGTAAGGATCGTTCAGTGAGACGTCATTCAACTTTATTATACCGGGAATACTGGTAGTTGGATTTTTTGTATCCACGAAACTCCAAAAATGTTTAATATCTTGAGTGATTGAAATCTCAATTATATGTGTATAATTCTTGTAGGTCACAGATATTTGACGCTTTATCTCAGATCTAAGACGTTTCTACAGTTCATGTAGATGGTTATTGGGACTCTCTTTGTACTTCTTATATAACTTTGGTTTATGCTTGATGTTCCTAATATCAAGTAACCAAATAAGTTCGTGCGGTAGCTGTATATCGCACATTGTCATGGATGTTGTTGATCGATAGCGATTGTTTGTTACCTGTTGTCACCTTAGTATGAATCCTTATTTTCTCACAACTTGCAGAAATGTTCAAGGTGAGTCCTGAAACTATCTGTTTGCATGTTCATCAGCTAGGAAAACTGACAAATGATAACAAATTAAGTCGTCATACCATTGGTTCAGCAAACATTTCACGCAACGCTAATGAACCATTTCTTAATCGGTTATTAACCTGCGACGAAAAATAGATCTTGTATTCGAATTCCAAGCGTTCGTATCATTGCTTGTCGCCTACTGATTTGGTACCACACACGCCCAAGGCTTCCTTGCACCCAAACAAGGTTTTGTTGTGTATTTGGTGGACAGCAACTGGAATTGTCTATCATGAGTTTTTGGAAAGGGGTCAAACCATCACTGCTAACTTGTATTGTGAGCAGCTTTAACGGTACAAGAAGCACTCATCCAGAAACAGCCTTATTTGATCAATTGGAAGAAAGTAATATTCTTGCAGGATAACGCCAAGCCTCATATCGCAGAAGTGACAAAATTTCTGAACCCGGCTGGGAAACGTTACCGCATTCGCCATATTCTCCCGGTATTTCGTCCACCGACCGTTCACAACTCGAGATGGTGGAATAAATGCAGTCCACCAATTTTTTGACTCCAATTCCAGGGAGTTCTACAATACCGGCATACAAAAGTTGGTTCCATGTTCGCAAAAGGTCATTGAATGTGTTGGTAATTACTTCGACGAATAAATAGTGCCTTATTGTTTCTCAATAAGAATGTATATTTTTCTACTAAAAACCGCAGGAACTTATTTGGTTACCAGATGGTTTCACTGGTGTACCACGGTCTCCACGGAGGGTACTTATGACTAAAAGATTTATATTTGGTTACGCAAATATCAAAGATAGACCATACAAATTTGTAAAATTTAACAATAGCTAAGTTAACATCTGAGAAATTATCTAAAAAAGAAATTTCCAAAATGACGAGACCATTATACAGTTCTGTAAAATTTGCCTTTCGGAAATTATACATGTTAATATATATCAAGAGCTGGATGATGGGGGATATCTTCAGGTACCAGTGGGCATTGGTAGACAAGTGAATGAGAAGTAAGTACGAGTGCTAAGACAAACAATGTATTGTAAACACATAGGCTCGGCCTCTTCTAATTTATTCGAGTTCGTCCTTACGACAATACGCCCCAAAATATAGATGATTGACCGTATCTCTTCTGCTACCAATCCTGATACTAGGTCTCAGCGTTGCCCGATACTAATGCTCCATTGGGTCTCACAAAGGGACAAGATTAATTTCAGTAAAGTGTTAGTGTCCGTAGGATACAGCTGATCAATGAGGATAGAGACATGCGACTTCCGAAGTAATGACGTCTATCACTTTAAGGGTAGATTCAAAGGGACTGCGTTTCTTTGTGTGACCTAGACTGCTTTGAACCTTTGTTTTACTGTGGGTCTACGGAATCGCCGATATGGCAAGTAAGCCTATATATCACACACCACCAAGTTGCGATTCAATATAGGATAGCATTCTAATTATTTATGTAACTAACCAATAACATAAAATCATGACAACCAAAAATTTCGAATACGTAAATGTTATCTTTATTTTTATGACTAGGGTCTGACTAAAGCTTCTATACTCACGACACATCTTGCGCATTGTGTCAGTGGAAATGCACATAACCTTGGACACCGAATTTAGTCCATATATTTTTGTTGAAACCGATCTGAAACTTTCATCGCATTTTAAGGAATATGGGCACAATATTGACTGAGTTGCAACTTGTAAGAAGCAGAACCAAGGGTACAAACGTTTGTTATTCTAGCACTTCATTTTCATAACAGAACCCTCATCTCTGGTTAACCAAACGTTCGGCTTTGGCTCCGGCGAAAAGTTGTGATGATAGTCGAACGTCGGCCAGAACGGTTTTTATTTTTTTACTCAAAAATGGCGCATCGAAAGATGACAATTCTACAAAGATCATTTGTTTTAAATAGAACGTGGAATTCAGAAATAATTTTTATTTGGCAAAAAACCATTGACGTACCAATTTTTTTAAAGTTTTTGTAAGGAAACATTTTGCTGCGTACTACGTTACCCATTAAGAAAGATAAACTTTCGTATACTTTTTCTGTGATTTGTAACTTGCAAATACTATCGTTGCAACATCGATCTTTCGACAACATAACTGAGTTGTGAGCGTTTTTTTGCCTTCCCCGAGTTTCAGATAAATTAATAAAAACGTTCCACGATCCTGGCGAAGTCTATAACACTACATCACATAAAGATCGCTCCTCTAGGGGAGTGCCGATAAATTACTGGAGAAACTTCAGAAGGATCTGGTGACAAGTAATATATTACTTGTAATTAATACCCTGCTACTCTGGAGAAAACGCTTTATCATACTTAACCAGGACCAGTATCGTAACTTTGATGAGACTTGCATCTAAAAAGCGGCTTGCCGTGTCCCCTGTCGTGAACGTTGCAAGCATCATTTTTCAGAAGGCGCTATATTATGTGTCAAATAGGGACGTATTGGTATTGTACCTGTAGTATGAACTTGATAGACAAACAATATTGTTAGGTGTCTCAGAATGAGTAGATACATTTGTCTATAAAAACAAATTGGGTGAATTATTTGACACACCTCGTCGCGTTTCTCTCGAAGTGTCCTAACTGACAAAATGCCAAAAATTGAGAGAACCAGCATGTAGGTGTATTATTCCATGCCGGTTAATCTGACGAAGAGGCATAACTATATATCTATTAGTGTAGGCAACGCACCACTAACCCCTGGGGGTCTTATCTACAGAGGTAAATATATAATAACCACGAAGAGACCAAACTGAAGATAGATCTCTTAGTGTGCAATAATCCTTGTTAGTATACGCACCCCGGTGGTCGAATACTGGTCAACGTGAGGGAGACTCTGCCCACAGTGCAATTCATACTGCGATAAAGGGAGCTGGAGATCTTTTTGAACCTTGACAACTCTATCCGGTTTTTTGATTGGCCAGAAAACGTCAAACTTATTTAGCAATCCCAATAAATTTTTTGACTGCAAGAAACTTTCAAAAGATTTACGAATGTTGTCCACACGGCAAACTGATCAAGGGCAAAATACTAAATATAGTTTATGGTAAGAAAAGACATACTCACCAAAATATTTTTCAAGTCTAGTTATGACAGTATTGAGTTACAAAGACTGATGAAAAATAGTAATAATATAATTGATATTAAGCTAGAACAACGTAAAAATAACAACAAAAACAAAAAAGAAGTACTCGGATTTAATTTCCTTATGTGAAAATTCAACACCCGGTGTACGCTTACCAGAATTCCAAAACTATTTTAGAAATTTGCCCCATGAAACGGAATGAATTTTTAATAATTTTGCCTTTTTTTGTGTATCATAATACATCAAAATTAGCTTGTAATATGTCAAAAGATAATGTTTAAGTTAGTTGCTTTTCTTTTAGTTTTTATTTCAATAAAAATTGCTTTGACGTTTCGAGTTGTGTTCTTCAGCTCATCACCTAATAGTTGTGTCATCATCTACATCAATTTTAGGCATGGACATTGAGGGAAATTTTTTAGAGAAAAGCTAAAATTCAAATGTCGATCTGACCTTCTTTACATGAACTCTGCTTTAAGCAGACCAACGATTACTTAAAAAATACAAAAGTATAATAACAAGAACTTTAATAAAAATATATTTTAGCTCTATCTGACAACGAGCTTCTGAAAATTCCCACGAAGCGACCTGCGTGCGTTTTCCAATTTTTTACAATGTAACTTAATAAGCCACCGCAAGTATTGAAACAGCATATGATCGACAATGAATATGGTATGATACAGTGAAATTTTCAATTCGGAAATATCTAAACTTTACATACAATGCTCAATCACTAACACGCCGATTTCGTTTTCTTGCTCTCCTGTAAAATTTACTAAACGTTGGTTAGGAAACTTGGTGAGAAAGCCGACGACCTGTTCAATGCCTATGATCCATATGAACATCAGCAGCGTTCGGCCAAAATAAAGCAGTTCTGCAGTGTCGCGCTTTTACGCCGAATTACAGTAGCCATAGAACAGCTTTTTCAGTTTGGCAGCAGTTTTCACTTAGCTGTCACATTCCTGATTGAACGTTGTAAACTGTCAATGTTAAGCGCCGCATAGCCGGACGCTTTACTTTGGCTGAACGCACCATACAGACTTCTACAATAGCTAAAATAAAGCTAAAAACATTTGAAATGTATAGAACCATCTGCATTGATTTCGTCAATAATCTAATTGGTTCTTATAAATCCAAATAATACAAACTTCGTAGAATAGACAGCCTAAGTCTGACGTCAGAGCGATGGGCGGAGCTTAGATTGGCTCCAAACAAATTCGTTTATAATGGTGAATTCCCATAAGGATTTCTCTTTTAGTGTTTTTTGTCATTTTCCAGGAGAAAATAAGAGCTTTAACTACAATATTTGACTTTAAAAACGTGCCTTTGGCTAGATTTGTATTAATTTATTTTTCAAGTAAGTAATATTAGGACAGTGATAATGTTTTGAAACTTTTTAAGGTTATGTCGTTGTTTATATATTATTTAAATTTTACGAAATAACAGAGTTCCTGGTTTTAATTATATGTATTTTAAGGTGTTCACGGATTCATTATAATGGGAATGTGCTTTGTGCCTGACTGCAAGCACTACAGTGAAGAACAAACGTGCAGGTTTTTTCGGTTCCTTTAATCAAGACAGAAAGGAATAGATGGATTTCTCTTATGAGGTAAAGGGATAATACATTAGCTTTGATAGATACATTTTTAATTGTTTTTATTTACAGGAGAAAAGATAGAGGTCTTAGTCAATTCTCCAAAGTTTGTGATTGCCATTTTATAGATCAGGATAAGAAAAATGGACCAACATTATTTAATTTTAATATTGAAAAGAGATTCAACATAACAACCCCAGAAAAAAGGTGTGCATACTGCATAAAAAGCATGATCATAATATAAGCTTTTTTTTAGAAAGAGGTCCGTAAAGCCTTGCTCCAGTCAAGGCAAGCTGCCAAGTGAACCATCAAAACCCTTTAACAATCCAGAACAAACAGTGACTGGATTAGAACTTGAAAGTTTACTTCTCAGCCCATCATCTGCTTCTCAAGATGCTGAGATTTATTTTTTGAAACAACAAGTTAATGAATTAACTGAAAAATTAGAGAAGTTAACAACACGGTTTAGTTATGAAGCGATAAAAAAAATGATGCTGATATATTAATATACACTGGTATACCAACAAATGAATTATTCATTGTGCCTTTTGAGCTAATGAATGACATATAATAAAATATTACGCTGGCTGGAATGTTCAAAGTATCCCCAAAGTTGATCAGCTTCTGATGACACTGATGAAATTTACGACGACGAATTTGCCCCATCAAGATCTGAGTATTAGATTTAATTGCAGCACAGCTACTGTTACCACTATTATTATGACTTGGATTTACGCTTTGCATGAAGTGCTATTTGAACATTTGATGAAGACAATACCATCCAGACAAAGAAACCAAACCAGCCTTCCTGCTGCATTTACTAATTTTAAAAATTGTAGAATTATATTACACTCCACAGTTCTAGCAAGCATGGAAAATCAGAGGTTGACATACAGTTCTTATAAACATAAAAATACATGGAAAGTTTTGGTAGGAGTGGCACCAAATGGGGTAATCACATTTGTTAGCAAAGCTTATCCAGGGTCGATATCTGACAAGAAGATTTTTTATTTTTTTGTATTCTCCAACTACCATGAAGGCCTAAGGCCTAAACACCCATTGGGTACCGTGGGGCTATAGGGGGATACATGGGAAAGGGGGAACGCCACACGGACTCTGGCGAGGGAACACGTGTGCATGCAACATGCACACATTCTGGCTCCGCCTACGAGATCCGCCGGGTGGTACCTCCGCGTTCGACAGTTAGATACCGTCTACCACCTACGAACAATCACAACATCCATAGCCAAGAGAAAAATTTCTCCTGGGACGGGACTCGAACCCGCACAGCGCACGGCGACTGATCAGGAGACCGAAGAGTCTACTACTGCGGCCACCGCTGCTGCCTAAAGGCAAGATTGTTGAACAGAGCAATGTTTTAAATCAAATGGTTCCTGGAGATATGATTCTAGCAGATAAAGGTTTTTTAATTAAAGACCTTCTTCCTGCTTGGGTGTCGCTCAATATTCCACCCTTTTTAACTACACCCCAGTTCACAGAGTCGCAGGTATATAAAACACAGCAAATTGCAAAAGCCAGAATTCATGTAGAAAGAGCCATCAGAAGAATAAAATGTTATAACATTTTGCAGCATGTTCCACCTTATTATACAGGGTGTTCCATAATTATTGCGACAAAATAATGGGGGTTGTAGAGGGCATCAAAATGAACAATTTTGCCTTATAAACCCCTGTTCGGAAATATGCCGTTTGGGATGCAGCAAAAAAAAAGATCAGTTTCTTGAAACAGCTTACCTACAGTAATTGCTCAAAGTGTGCTCCACCTTGCTCAATACACAGCTGTGCACGATTGTTCAATGATCGGCGAACTCTGTGGCATACCCCCGGTTTGTCCTGAACATGTGCGGACGCGGCCATCACTCTTCCCAGTAGCTCTTGTTGGTTGGGAACAGTAGTTTCGTACACTAAAGCTTTCAGATGGCCCCAGAGAAAATAATCCAGTGGGGTCAGGTCGGGTGACCGCGCAGGCCAAGGCACAGGGCCACCTCGGCCGATCCACCTATTTGTCGTCCAAATACTGCCGCACTTGTAAAGAAAAGTGGGCTGGAGCGCCATCGTGTTGAAACCACGTGTTGGCTCTTATGTTCAGTGGCACATTTTCTAATAGTTCCGGTAGCACATGCTGTAAGAATCGACCATAAGCATGCCCATCCAAACGTGGTGGAAGCAAATATGGCCCGATGATATGCTCGTCCACAATGCCGCACCAGATGTTAATTGAAAACTATGTTGGTCTCTATGGATGGCTATGGCATGAGGGTTTTCTTCATCCCAAATGTGACTGTTACGGCTATTAAAATAACCTTCCTTTGTGAAACAGGACTCGTCAGTGAACAAAACGTAGCGACCAAAGTTTGGTTGCCTCAACTCCTGCTGCAGCCACCAACGACAAAAACGTCGACGAGGCAGATAGTTTTCTGGACCCATGGCTTGGACTTTTAAAAGGTGGTATGGGTGTAGTTGCTGGTCATGGAGAACCCGCCAAGCAGTAGTTTGAGACGCTCCCATTTCATGTGCAATAGCATGCACGCTTGTACGCGGATTGGCCTCTAGTTTGACGCACCACTCAGATAAATTAAATGAATCGGTGTGGAGAATTTACGATAACAGAAATGTAAACACAGCAGGCTTTTTTTTACAAATCGTCGAGACCATGAAATGTGCTAGACGAACATTTTGCAGCTGTTGAATTTTTTGTTTCTCTTAAGGTAAAATTAGCGGTAGTGCTCAAACGGCATATTTACGAACAGGGGTTTATAAGGCAAAATTGCATATTTTTATGCCCTCTACAACCCCTATCATTTTGTCGCAATAATTATGGAACACCGTGTATATCCCAAATTTCAGTTATTTTTTAACTGTGTGCAGCTTTAACAAACTTTCAATGTCCGCTAATTAAAGAAGTTGAAGAATATTATTAAACTGTTATAGTAGAAGAACATTTGATTTTATTTTTAGTTCATATAGAGTTTTTCTATGAACAGTTATGATTTTTGTGCGATAACATTTCAATCTGCGAAAACTGTATCACTATTAAAGTTTATAGTTTGGATAAAAAAACATTGGTTAGTCATTAAGTGATTAGAATTTATTTTTCGACTCAAATTAATACCTTTATTAGCAAAAGTTATAACAGATTCAAATTTTGTCAGGTAAAAATGATCACACTGTAGTTGATTTCATTTAGAAACTTCTATTGTACTTTATATTTTATTTAAATGTGTAGCAGGAGCACCAAACTCTTGACTGCTTGCTTTGAGTTTTGTGCTTCCACTGTGGATTACATATAAATCAGTAAATAAAAGTCGTATTTATTCAAAACATATTTATTTAATTTCCTAACAATTTTGGTAAATAATGTTCTATGTAGAAATTTTCTAAAAGAAAAATATTTTCCTTCCATAACTCATCATAATCTACATTTGCAACAATTGCGCCATTTAATGTCCAAATACAGAGGTAACGTTTTTTCTTTTTTAAAATATGTAGAATTCCTTGAATTTGATGATAATAATTGTGACTTTTATTTAGTAACAAATTTCCTTCATCATCATAATAAATAATGTAATTTGTTAGGTTACATAATTTGTCTGTTAAATTATCATTTCTAAAGGAATATGGACATTTCACTTCCACAATGGCATCTCCTTCATCAATTAAACCATCAGGACTAGCTCCAAGGAGTCCTGAATTTGTAAGCCATACTCCTGTTGATTGAATATTCAAATTATAATGTTGTTTCAAATAATCTAATGCATCTTTTTCATGAGTTCTGCCCCATTGGATTGCTATAATGCCATCCAGATTATATTCACCTGGAAAAAGAATTGATTTGATGGGTTGTGGTGACAATATATAAAATAAAAGAAATATTAGAAAATGAACAATAATTCAGTATTTGGAAAAAAATGCAAACTCTGCAGGGAAGAAATTGAGATGGAAAGAAATTATGCAGTTGACTTCTTTCATGAAACAGTAAGAATGAATTAGCTCTCTGTCTTTCTTATTATCTCATTACTGTTTATCTAACTTTTATTGACAGTGCATAAAAAATAACTATCAAAGCAATACATAACAGTAAAGGATTTGTGTTGACATTACATCCATATATGACGAAAATTTAAAACAATATAGTACTCACTCACCTAAAAGTGTTTTGAACAAACTATCTGGGAACCTCTTTTTTACGCATGCAGAAATTATCAATCCAGAACTACTTGCACTCAAACGAAATTTTCTGGCAAAAGATACCACTTTTCCTTTGCTTGACCAGTAGTGGCAGCAGCAATGTCAAGTATTGAGTTATCATCCATGGCACATTTTTCTTTGAAGATATGGACTTTATATGTGGCTTCCAAAAACTCCTTGGAAGAAATAATTTCTTCAATCATAGGGAAATTGTTTACAGGATTTTCAGATTCCTTGTTCAACAACCAAGTGAATCCCACAGTATTTCCAAAGCTACCTAGCTTCTCCCTCAATCTTTCATACGATTTTTCTGGTACTCGATGTTCAAGGGCTCTACATGGCTTTGGCGGATATGTTCTTCAGCAAATTGTACCGGCTCAGACTTAGGTTTAGCTGGGGCATTCCATAAACAAGCTTTATCTGTTACTGAGATATTGTAATGCCCAAAAAGTGCCAATCTCCGGAATTCGAGCTAATTGTTGCAAGATGTTCGAATTATGGAATGTTTTCGGAAAAATCAAAAAATATTTTTAATATACAGCTGCTGGATTTTCTGTCTTATTTAAATGATTTAATTTTGCCCACAGATGACTGATGCCATGTCCGAATCTAAAAATAAATGTAGACAGTACAGTCTTGATTATTTGAAATTTGGCTTCATTCCATCATTGCCGGACAAACAATCGCCTATGTGCCTTAAAGTTAATTTTGCCAGCCGTTGAAGAGGTTTTAAAAACTGTTTTACACAAACCTGCATCTGATATCATTAAATGAATTCCCTTAAGCAACAATACTGTTGAAAGACGTGTGAGTTCTGATATTGAAAGCTTCTTATGTAATTATTTGCAAACGACCTGTTTCTCTATACAACTGGATGAGTCAACTTTACCTGATAATGCAGCATTATTATTGGCATATGTTCGTTTTATTATGAATCAAGAAATCTACGAAGAACTGCTCTTCGCAAGAACTTTGATAACCGACACTAAAGGTGAATCAATATGTCATGTTTTGGAGGATTACTTCATTGAGAAAGCAATTCCTTTATCAAATATAATATCAGTAGCTACAGATGGAGCACCTGCCATGGTTGGACGTTATCGTGGATTTATAAGCTATTTGAAACAAAATGTGTCAGGGGTGTTAGCAATACATTGCGTCACCCATCGACAACATTTAGTTGCTAAAAATTTGAGTGTTAGATTGCATGAATCACTTCAATTAGTCATTAATGCAGTAAACCGAATCCGAAGCAACGCGTTGAATACGCGGTTATTTGCGCAGTTGTCTGAAGAAAATGACGAACATTTTCATCAATTACTCTTTCACACTGAAGTACGCTGGCTGTCGAAAGGCTTATGTTTAACAAGATTTTTTGCACTTTTTGAGACTATTTTTGAATTTCTGGATACTGAAGATAAAATTTTAAAAGAAAATTTAATGAAGAGGAAAACAGACATCGCCTATTTAACAGATTTGTTTACAAAATTTAATATGGTTAATTTGCAATTACAAGGCGACTGTTTAAATTTGATTAAAACAAAGTCCATCTTATCAGCGTTTCTTGCCAGAGTTAAACTAATGAAGCAAAATATTGGACGGGGCGAATTTTCTCAGTTCCCCAATTTGTCACAGACAAGCTGTCAGGAAGACGACGTTTCAACTTACGTTCAACATTTAAATGCCCTCTATTCAGATTTTGAATCTAGTTTTGAGGATATTTTGACTATGGTAATACCACCGTGGATAATTAATCCATATGGTGACATAGAAGAAACGAATGTCATAATACAAGAGGAACTGACTGAACTAAGTACAAACGAAGAACTTAAGGTTCAGTTTAAAAACGGATATCAGCAATTCTGGCTGCAAAACAACAGACCCGTTACTTATCCCGTATTATGGAATATAGCGAGGAAATTTTTAATTTCCTTTCCATTGTCTTACCTAGTGGAAAGGGGGTTCCGCGCTGTTACCAATCTCCTAACGAAAAAAAGAAACAGACTGGACATCATTAGCCGAGGAGGTTTAAGATTAACCCTTACAAAATTGACGCCAAATGTTGATAATTTATTATTAAAGCATCAGGTTCATCCTTCTCACTAAAAATATTGACTTATTGCTTATGTTATTTTATTTATAGTTTATTTTATGTTTATTGGTGCCTGACCAATAAATGCCCGCATTGGGAATAAGTGACGGCATTGATTTTTTTAAAGAACCCCCCTTTATAGAAAATATTTTTTATTCTGAAAATTCAACGATAGGTACACACTAAAATTCGGTAATTTTTTGCATATTTTTAGATAACTTAAACGTATAAGAAGCGGAATTCAATCAAACTAACAATGAAATTATTGTAGAACATACGTTTATGTTATAATTAATAATCGAACTCGCTTATTGTACTATTTTAAGTAAAAAACTTTTTTTTATTATTTTTCACTTTTTTTTTATTTTATCCCTCTTATTTTTTTTCCATGCGGGCACTTATTCCCAATGCGGGCACTTATTGGTCAGACACCTGTTTATTTAATGTTACGTATATTTTACATAACAGATACAAAATTTTATTTTGAGTAGTTTTAATTTAAATTCAATTAATAAATGTATAAATTAACATGTGTTTTTACTTTAAGTTTTCAACACTAAACTTTACTACAGTTAGAAATTTACAGGAAATCAATATCAGGTGAGTAGGGGGTCTACCCAACACGGAAAAACATGGCAAGGGGTCTACGACACAAAAAAGTTTGGGGAACTCTGACCTAGTCTATTTCTGCTGACACGACTGCTTGCTTCGAAGAAAGCTGCTCGAATGGCACAGATGGCAGATATAAACGTTTTTTAATTATCTCAACTAATCTGAGCTAGATTTTGCTCGTCTCTGCTGTGACTGGACTTTAAAATGTTCCAACACGTTTCACCTCAAGATCAGAATTGTCCAAAAAGTCTGATACTGTTTTCTTCTTCTTCTGCGATACTAAAAAACCGTTCTTGCGAAAGGAGGTCACCTACATACCTAGGACTGCGCAGGTTTGTATTATTTATTGGAAACCTGAACTGGTGTAATCAGAAAACAAAAGTGTACATTGTTTGAGATTGTTAGAAAACGTGGATATATCATGGTTACATTTACTATGTGAGTGACAGTTTAAATTCAAAACCTATATCTTAACAAAAAAAAAATATGAAATACAAAAAAAAGACAGTAGGAGGTGTTTCGAAGCAGTTACCCATCTAAATCGTAACCGCACCTTACGCTGCTTAATTCCGGTTATTGGATGAATGACTGAAAGGCGACGCTTTCACTGGCATTATTCTTGTGTGAAATAGCTCGTTGGCGTACTAGTTCCTAGAACTGGTTAGTTTCAGTGAGTGTGACCTATTGAACTAGTGGCTGGCAATGCCGGTAATTATTGAGTAACTAGTTGGGTGGCCGTTGCTGAGGCGGGAATGATGCTGTGCTGGATTGTCTCCGGGTTGCGGTCGCCAGTTGCTTCGGATAGTAGTGATACTAGTGGTAATGATGGAGAGATGAAGCCTGACAAGTAGGCTACCCTTGACCCTTTTTATAGAACCCTTTATACACTATAAGTACTATCTCACATGCCATCTAGTGGTAACTGATTAATGAACCAACCACCTCCAGCGATGCGATCTACATGTTAATCCTGCACCGAACTGGTCCGTAATATATGCACAAACACAACATCTGTGGCTCAAAATTAACTTCCTAATGTTCGAGTCAATGGTTTAGCAGCCCCTTGGTTGCTTCTGTTAAAACGGTCCCTAGGACGTTTCACACATATTCTGCAGATGCATGCCTATTGACGAGAAGGCAGGGGAAGGAAAGGAAAGCGAAGGTCTGAGTTGCCTCACACAGAGTCTAATGAGAGAAAGCGCACTTGAGCGACTAGAAGGAATGCAACGTGTCACCTTTCACACGTGCACATGGCAAATTTCGCCGCAGTTTCCTTCGCGAAGCTTTCCTTATAACCTGAGGCAGCATATATATATATATATATATATATATACCTGTATATATATATTTTCCCAGATAGCCAGTGTACATATAATTAGTTATATCTCAAACACTTTGGACTAGCTTTGGACATACCCATTTACAAAACGAGTGGCCCAAATAACTACACTAATGATACAGGTATATCTGAGGTATCTAAACTTAGCACGAATCAACTAGTAGATTTATGTAGCAGAAAGAATTATACAGGGTGTAAACGTTATGATAGTCATTATTTAAATGGGTGATAGAGGGGGTTGAAAGAAGCAAAAAGTTTCATATAACATGGGTTCAAAACGGCATTTTTTCAGAGAAAAGCGACTTTAAAGTAAAATAAAATCTGACAACGTCGCAATGCCAGACACAAATTACGAGGGAACGCAGTGAAAATAAAGATGGAGTTTGTTATTTTTGGCTCTTAGGTATTATTTCGTTATTTGATAATGTACTCGTAAAATGCAAACAATTGAAAAAAACGGACTTACCACTAGCTGCCTCAGCGCTTCACCTGGTGCGTCAAAGTTTATTGAACGTATTAAAAAATCCACTTATGAATAGGGAACACAATTTTGATATATACATAGTTTTTCTTTTTAAAACCCA